TTAATTAATAAGTTAATTACGAATTAGCTAGATAACATAAATAAGATAAGAAGTTTAGATAATATTAATATTACATAATAAAGTTTGCTACAGTTAATAAAGCTCTTATTGTTTAATATATTATTAGTTGTTAATCTAAATATCTAGTCTTCTATCTTATATTTTAATAGTATATTAAGAAGACCTTAGATTTAAGCTATATAAACTAGAAAAGGGCTTAAGATAGAAAGTACTTCCTAGTATATCTAGTATATATTAATAGAATAGCCTAGTAAAGCTATAAATACCTATAAAAACAGAGAAGCCTAATAACTTTGTAATTAAAATCTTTAAATATAATACTAGTTAATATATTTCCTAAGCAAGCTAGCCACCCTAGAACACTATAATAAATACGATAAATTACAATATATATTGTAATAATAGTAGGTATAGGGGACTTTCCTTAAAAGTTAACGCGTCTTAGGTGGTGTCTAGTGTCTAAGATAAGTTTAAAGAATTTCTATAACTTAGTAATTGAGATATTTATATTTCTAGCTACTAGTAACGTAATTTCGATACCGTGATAATATAAGTTTTAGATTTCGTTAAAATTATAGTGTTAAAAAGCCTTATTAATAGTTATTACTAAATAATAAAATAAAATAAAAACGTGGTTATTAAGATAGGGGACCGGTAATTACACCCCCTGCCTTAATTTCTAGGCCAATATTTTCTTCTAACGTAATTCACATGCGAGCTGCGCACACAAGCGAGCTGCGCACCCCCACCCAACCTATTAATGTTAAATGCATTTATCTTAACCAAAACGCCATTAAATTCAATTAGCTAAACTCGAGGTCTATTAGGACATACATTTCTCTTATGACCTTCAATTCCATATGCTCTACACTTCGGTAAGGCCCTCGTACGTGGCTGTAAAGGTGCCGGAGGCGGTCTTGCCTCACGGGATACTTGTGCTAAAATTGCCTGCTCTAGCTGCATTGCTAAGGTAGAGGCCTCTAAAACTGAGAGGCCTTCTTCGGAAGCTATTTGCCTTTTAGACCGAGTCCTTTTTCGCTTCTTCGTCTCGTTTTTAGCGCGTAATTCGCTTACTTCTTTCTCGAGCAAAGCTGCCGATTGTATCGTAATTTGGCAGGCCTTTAAAACCTGATTTATCGCGGAGTTAAGCGGGCTTGGTAGGCTTTTTGAGCGCTATTTTAGCAAAGCTTTAATTGAGGAAGCTTATTTTTGTAATTGGATGTAGTTCGACGGCGTTTTTAGCTCCTACTCGCTTCCTCGGCTCGAGGGGGGTGTCGGGGTTCGAAGGCGAATATCGAGCTTTAAGATCACTCGATCGGGATTATAAGGTATTAAACCGGCGGCGGCGAAGCTATTCTTAATAGTCTCCGATTTAAATGCCTTAATTCGCGCGGACGGGTAGGCTTTGAGGAAGTCTAGCTTATTAATATAGTTAATTCTAGCCCGTATTTTTGACTTGATAAGCCGACTATACGCGCGCTTTAACACCGCAAAATAGCTAATATCGAGAGGCTATAAAAGGTAAGACGAGTGCGGAGATATATAAATTGCGATAATATCGTTCTTTTCGTAAATTCGATCGAACTCCGCGGTTAAATGACTTCCGTGGCCGTCGAGTATTAAAAGTCTATACTTCCCCTTCGTAAGAAGTAGACGGAATAAAGAGCTTTTTAAGCCACCGAAGGCCAATTTTATCGGAAGTCTATCTATTTAGACTAACCTCGAAGCGCTAATCCTCCGGGAGGCTATCGAACTAAGATTCGATATAGACTTTGCCCTTAAAAATCACACACGGAGGAAGCGCCCACCCCGAAGCATTTATACACTTAATTGTAGTCACCTACGCGCGATTTCCGGGCTATAAAAGTACTCGCCGACCGTAGTATTTAGCTCTCGTTACGATCTTCGCGGTCGCAATTAAGCCTATTGCGAATCCAGTCTCGTCGAAGTTATAGATATCGTCGGGGTCGATGCCGTATTGAAGTATCGTTTTTTAGACGAGATTAAACCATTCGTAAATAATTTTTGGGTCTTCACATTTAGCGCGCTAATAATCATATCGCCTCGAAAAGCGACTCGATAGCTCCGGATGCCTTTTCACGAAATTTGCAACCTAATTTTGACCGACTAAAGTAGTCGGGGTAGATCCACGCGCCGCGAGTAGTAAATTCGCCATTCTTCGTACAATAGAAGGCCGAGGGGGTGCTCCGTGAGAGTCTATAGAGAGAATCCATTTTTTAAGAGATTCCTCCTCAATTTCAGTCAATTTATGACCGTTTGCGCGAGTTTTAGCGCGATTCGTAGAACCCTTAAGGCGCGTACGGAGTGTCGATTCAGGCACATCAAATACACGCGCTGCTGCACGAACAGCGCCAATTTCTTGCTTCTGAATAGCCTGTATAGCTAATAAGATCCTACCCTCCTGCTCTACTAAATTTCGAGAGGATTTAGTACGAATTGGTGGCATGGTGGGTGGTTAAATAGAGAGAGTCTAATTAATTGACGCGTTTTGGGTGGGGGTGCGCAGCTCGCTTGTGTGCGCAGCTCGCATGTGAATTACGTTACTTGCAATATTTCTGCCACCACCGACCATGTATGAGGTGCTTACATTTACTGTGCAACCCCCTTATTAAATAAAGTCACTTTCGTACTCTACCACCCACTATGCTAACTACACGGCGTTAGTCCTAAATAGGAAATATATGCTATTTTAAATACTCTATAAAAGGAAGGAATGGGCCTATATAGCGGCTAGCACCCATTTTTCGTTAAATCCTTAGAGAGTTGTATAAGAATAGTGAAGAAAATAAGTAATTTATATTGTATTAGCTATTTATAGAGCCCCCTAGCGCTTCCTAAGGCGATCAGACTAGGAATCCTCGTCCGAAGATACCCGTAAAGCTATTCCCGACCCCTAAGATGTAGCTATACTTGGCGGCGATACCTACTAGATCTCTCTATAGCTAGGGCACCTTCCTAAGAAGCTTATTAAGCTTCTTAGGCTATAGATAAAGCTATTCCTATCATGATATTACCCTATAAGGCTTAGAGGCGCGTTATAGAGGCTTAGTAGTATCGACGGGGACTCGGGAATAGGTTTAGGCTTATTATCGGACGGCGAATTAGGCTGCGAGGAAGCCATCGTAAAGGGAGTGAAATGCGAGAGAAATAAGTGAAAAACGCGAGATAAATAGGTAGTAAAATGCGAGGTTTAAAGGTGTAAAAAACAATTATTTTAAATTCCTTATTAGGTACTATAGTAGAATAAGAGTGACTTATTTTTACTAGCAATTTACATAGTAATTGGAGGTACCTAATGTGTGATATATATATAGGTAGTGGTAGGCTAGTAGCAATAAAAGAAAAGCGGTCAATACTAGCTTAAGAATTTAGGCAAAGCGGGGTGTAATTACCGGTCCCCTTAAGATATTAGGATAGAATATATCGGATTTACTATAGTGTTTTAGGGTAGCTAGCTCGCTTAGGAAATATATTAAAAAATAGACTACTAATAGCTTATAATAAGGCCTTATAGTCGCTAACTAATTGTATTTATACTTAATATTATTAGAGATAAGCGTATAAAATAAGACTTTTTAATTAGACTAAAAAATATTAGATACTAAATAAAATAAAAGGAAGGCTAGTTAAAGGTAAGAAATTATAAGATCTATTCCTTATAGTTTAATTAAGAGGAAGGAGTAACAGTTAGTATTGATTACTATTAGATTTAGGATATATAGGTAGAGTAAGAGTAAGACTATCATTAAGACTATACTCTTTATTTTACAAAAGCTTATAATCTCTATTTTTCCTTTATATATATCTTTAATAGCTCGTAGATTTCAGATACTTTATTATAATTAATATATTCTAGTCGCTATTTTAACCTAGTCTAATAGAATAAAGGTACTTAAGGATCTTCTTATAACGTATTTCCTAAGCGAGCTAGCCACCCTAAAACACTATAGTAAATACGATATATTCTACACTAATGTCTTAACTAAATTTTTACTTTAGTTTAGAGCATCACTAAAATAAAATAAAATCGGTATCCTAGGGTAAGGATGTCTAGTCTAATCGCCCTAGGAAGCGCCGGAGTACTATAAATAGCCCTAGAAAGTGTCGGATATATTCCTAAATAGGAAATACGTTAAAATTGATTTAGTCTCTAGCAGTGACTTACTATTATAAAGGGGCTATATAGTAAATAGAAGTACCTTAGATATATAACCGCTAAGTCTTAGGAGCATTAGTATTGCTAAGAAATTGATATATCCTTACTATTTAATATATTGGAAATATAGTAACTATATAAGACCTTATTCGATTTAATGAACGTAGGTAGGGTCCGAACGGTTAATATAGGGGTCCTTGTAGTGAGACCCTTATTTTTTATTTATAGATAGCTATTAATAAGGCTTTTTAACACTATATATTAATTTTACCGAAATCTAAAACTATATTAGTATGCTATTGAAAATTACGTTACTAGGAGCTAGAAATATAAATAGCTAATTATATCTTAATTACTAAATTATATAAATTCTTTAAACTCTAGTTGGAGACTAAATACCACCTAAAAAGTATTAGTTTTTAAGGAAAATTCCCTATAACTGTTGAGATCACATGACCTGGTTGGTCATGTGACCCTGGATGGTCCTGAGAGTAGTTAGATAGTCCTGGGAAGGGTTGGAGCCTCTCTCCTCCCTAGTCCTTTTCATCACCAATAATATTGACCTATTATTGCATCCATCTCCCTTTGTCTAGAGGTTATGACCCCTCTGCTCTGTTTTTGAGGCGATTCACAACACGCCAAGCTTCGCGCACCCAATCCAGGGCCGCCAAGCAAGCCGTGCCGCTGACGGTGGGTCTGATCAACCTACCAGAAGCTGTGAAGCCGCCCCACCCCTGAGCCCCACACCTCCGAACCCTACCTACGAACGAATACGGAAACAAAGAGAGATACATCAGACATTATGTCCGATGCCGCCGCTATGGACCGCGGTGGAAACGCAAGAAATGCCTCGGGTGACGACTCGAGGTACCCTCAACTGGATGTTGGGGAAACTTTTGACATCGATGACGAGCCCATAGGTGTAGCTGCAGGCGCCGCCCGTCATCAAGGATCACGTCTTCCAAAACCCACAAAGTGTGACCTTGCTGCCATCGAAAAACTGTCTAGTACGGAGACCGACCCGACTGAATGGATAATGCAAGTGGAGGACACGCTAGAACCGATGATACTCGGAGACCTTATCGACCTATCGTTGCCGAGACCAGGAGTCGATGACCCATCTTTCCGGAGATGGTCATACTGGTCAGCATCAGTAGGGAGATGGATAGGCCTCCAAGTGGACAAAGACACGAGAACTCGCCTCGCTGGCCTCGCGGAGAGACCAAAGATAGCCGATGTGCTTTTCGAAGAGCTCGTTAGCTATGCGCGGGGAGGAGAAAGATCAGATAACCTAATGATCGACATTTACAAGCTCGCGGACATGAAGAGAGAGCACTTCAGCTCCGTAGAGGAATACATCACGAGTTACCAGAGACAGATCAGCGTCCTACGCCGTGTCAAGCTAGCGCCTTTGCCTTTTCACGCTACTGCAATAATGCTCCGAGAAGTCGAGGAAGAGCTTCCGGGAATGGCTTTCATGAAGGAGGCATTACAAAAAGTGGCGAATCCACAAGAAATGACTCAGGAAGAGTTCGACAGGAAATGCAAGGAAATGCTGATTAAGGCATGTCAACTTGCTGTCTCTATTTCAACTAACAAGGTTAGCTCGGCGCGTGAGAAACCAGCCCGCTAAGCTGACCGACGCGACACTATTGATCCTACGTCACAAAGCACCTATTCTGACCGATACGACTACGCCGACTGTGGAAGAGGCCGTGGCCGTGGCCGTGGTGGATACAACCGTGGCGGCCAGCGTGGCCGTGGACGCGGAGGAGGTGGAGGCAACGGATCATCGCATGAAGAGCACACCGATCGTGGAAGCTCTCACACTAGCAATCTAAGCGGCATAGCATCTGCTAGGAACGCGCCCCTAAAAGGGAAGGATATCTACCGATACGCAAGGGAATGCCGTGAAGCTGAGAAGCAACGCATCGATGGCTTTTGCAGTTTTTGTGGATTTGGGCCACACACTGCTAAGCAATGCTTCTATCTTGCTGAAAATCCTGACTGCGAGTGGGACCTACCAATAAGCTGCTGGTCTCTCTCGGTAGCACTTCGTGAGCGGAAGGATAGCAAGGGCAGAGCCTCACTAGCCATTGAGATGCTAGCCGAGGATTAGACTATCACCACTAGTGACACTGTAACTAGTTTTTCGACTGAAAAAGTAGGTGATGACGGGTGGTTGCTAGACAGTGGTGCCACCAAGTCTATCACTGGCAACATCAATGACTTTGTCGAATATAACTAGTGGGAGGTAGGCTAAGTAGGATATGCTTATAGCGACGTCCACGGCAAGCTCACAAAGTCTAGCGGATGGGGAATGCTTCTTATCCGTGCCGAGCTGCCCGACGGACGAATCAATGAGGCATTGGTGAAAGGATACCTTGATACCTCGATTCCTATCGGTAATAGACTGCTATCCACCGAGCATTTGGCAGAGTATTACGGAATGTATTACAATTCTCGCACCAAGAAGCTCGAGAATGCCGACGGATCAACCTTTGCATGTGTGAGCACCGCCTCGGGAACCCTATATATTATAGGGCCGAAGCGAGGTGGAACCTATGAGCCTGCTGGGGACTAGGACGTCGGGAAGGCTTTTCGAACCTTAAAAGCACTAGAAATTCACCGATGCCTTGGCCACGCTGGTAAGCCAAAAGTTGCGGCTACTATGAAGGATGCCGAACTGATCTAGGAAGGTGACACTCTTGAAGACTAGGATTTTCAATGCGATGTATGCATGAAAGGGAAGTCAACGCGCTAGGTCTCGAGAACCCTATAACCTCGTTGCTAAGATGCTGCATGGAAATTCCACGTAGACACTTAGACAATGACACCTCTTGGACCCTATGGAGAGCGGTATTGGGTGCCAATTGTCGATGATATGTTGAGATTTGTGGAGGGAATATTCGTGAAGAAGAAAGAAGCAATTTCCGACTATATGATCACCTTTTGTAAGCAAATCAAGCTGATTGCGGGCCGCTTTCCTGGCATTTGGCGCCTAGACAATGGCACCGAATTCACTAAATTTATCAAGTGGGCAGAGAAGGAAGGCATAAAATTCGAATTCACACCTCCCTACATTGTAGAGCCTAATGGCATTATCGAGCGCACCGGCGGCTATGTCAATGAAATGGCTAGGGTAATGATACTCGATGCCGCGCTGCCCGAGAAGCTATGGCCACACGCTGTAGATACAGCAACTTATACTATTAACCGCCTTGCTAGCCCGAAAACTGGAAAATCGCCTATTTAGGTATGGAGGGAGAACCTCAATATTATCAATGCTAAGCCTAGTCTCACGCACCTACGACTATGGGGTAGCAAAGCTTACGCCTACATCTTAAAGGCTAAGCGAGTCCAAAGCGAGAAGATGGCTGCGCGAGCTATCGAAGTACGTATCATGGGCTACGTCGGAGACTATGGCCACCAATTCAAAGTCTGGGATCCTGAGATAGGAAGAATCCACACTACTAGGGACGTTGGTTTCCCACAATATGGAGATGATGAAGGAAACGGCAACGGCACTGCCGCTGACACTAGCCCGAAGAAACCGATTGAACCCACCGGTGGTGGTGTTGGTAATGTAGTGAGCGAACCACCAAATTTGGATGAAGAGGTGAAGAAGCCGAGAAATCCGACTAAGTGGTCCGCCTACCTCAGTAAGCTCTATTGATCACCCCGTCACCCTAGGGACCCCCCACGGGGTCAGCCTGGACGGTTGACACACAGACGGAGATAGTGAGAGACATCCTAACGCGTTAGTTAGAGGAAATACCACGCCAACGCAGACAAATTGGAGGAGAACCGTACGCATGGAAGCCAAAGAGAGGTCCATTTTAACGGAGGCCACCTCACGGCCCGAGAGCGTCAATTTTACCTCCAAAACAACTATTGCAACTAGTGCTGCCATCTATTGCTGAGACGCCTAGCACACCGGCAAGACTATAACCATGGCTACGAGCTGTCTCACTAGCAATTCTGATCTAGTAACACATAGAAGATGCGTAGAAATCGCTAGAGAGAGCCTAGGAAGTGGCCCAGCAAATGGCCAAGAAGAAGTCCTTTGAAATGAAGCTCAAGGAAATCAATGAGAACCTCTCTAGGATGAGCGCTGACACCGAGAATGCTAGAAATGCTAGTGAATCTATCGAACTAGCCACCGAAAGCTCGTCCGCTGCTCTAGACACCACTCCCACTCCGGCACCTCGTCGTTAGTTACTAAAGCATCCACCGGGACTGCCGATTCCACGCGCCCATAGCGAATACAAATACCCATTCGAATATAAGAACCCTATTCGTGAAGCGGCGGTCATCGAGTCCGTGGAGCCAGCAAGCCGCCAAGGATCGATACAAGCACAAGGAGACATCATAACAAGCCGTGAAAGCACTAAATCAGTGACTATAGTGGGAAATGCTAGCCAGCAAGCTCCGACTATGTCTCCGAGTGAGCAAGGTCTAATACAAGCTCCGAGCATGACTCCTAGCGAGCAAGCTCCGAGAGAACCTCAAAGCATCTCTCCAAGCCATCAGCTAGCAACCAATATACAAGGCCTAAGCTCCGCTATACCAATCTCCATTAGCTCGAGCCCCGACCCAATCAACACAATTGAACCAACACAGCCACGCCGTTCGAAGAGATAGAATGCTAGCATACCCGCACCGGTCTACCATGACCCTAATGCACCAAGAACGAAAGCTAAGATCAGAGCGCATAAATACAAATTGAGGAAAGCTGCTAAGCGAGCAGGCTCCGTCGCCACGGATGCTAGCACTATCGCTAGCACCGACGCTAGCACCAACGCTAGCACTAATGCTAGCAAAGCATCGCTAGCCACGGAACGCATCATAGTGAATAGAAAACCTATCGCCGCGTCGGAAATTGAGATTCCGACAACGTACAAGCAAGCCGAGAAGACACCCCATTAGAAATACTAGAAGCAAGCGATAGAGGACCAAATTGAGGACCTCAATGCGAAGAATACGTACACCTTGATCATTCGACCAAGGAAGACCCAGGTGCTACCAGGCCAATGGAGATTCAGCATCAAGAAGGACGCGCATGACTACGCCACCGGTTTCAAAGCCCGCTAGGTAGCTTGTGGCAATTTCCAAAAGAAGGACGAAGCAGCCGATTACTACGCACCCGTTGTGGCAGAATACTTAGTCAAAACAGTCCTATCTATCATTGCTGTCTACGGTTTAAAATAGCGCCAAGTCAACGTCAAAGCTGCCTACCTAAATGCTTCGAGAGAGGAAGAAACGACGGTCTATATAAGACAACCGACTAGATTCGAATACTTCGACGACGAAGGGTCTACGAATAACTAGGTCTGCGTGCTAAACCAGGCATTGTACGGCCTACGGGACTCTGCCTTCCTATGGAATCAGGAAATGGATGAAAAGCTACAGCTGCTAGGTTTCTTGCCGCTTGATGATGATGCATGCGTCTACACCAAAGGCTCGGGAAGCCAAATAAGCATCCTAATAGTCCACGTGGATGACTTCATCATTGCTGCACCAACGGATGCCGAAGTGAGCAATATTGCTAATGGTATCAAGGGTTTCTTTCCCATAAAGGACCTTGGTGAACCTGCCGTTTTCCTAGGCTACGCGCTCAGCCGGGATTACGCCAATGGCACTATCACAATGAGCCAGACAGCTTACGTGCATGAAATCTTGAAGAAGGCAGACATTAGCAGTGACAGTGACTTGCTAGGAGTTGAGACCCCGATTCTACCATCCTAGAAAGGCCAAGATAGTGAGGAAGATAAAATGCTAGACGATGAGCATTTTGACCGTTTTCTCTCTGTCGTTGGATCGATAAATTAGCTTACTGTCAAAACTCGACCCGACATCCGATACACCACCACACGCTTGCAACACCGCTCCGCGAAGCCTACCAATGCTGATTATGACGCCATGATCCACCTCGGTCGCTACCTTAAGAAACATGACAACCTAGGGATTGTACTAGGAAGGGTGAAAGAGCTGAGATTCATTGCTCATGCAGATGCCTCGCATGCCGACTAGCAGGATAGGAAATCCACCGAAGGCAGCATCTGGTGGTTCGCTGGCGCCCCAATCATGTGGTCTACAAAGAAGCAGACGGTAGTAGCATCATCTACTACTGCGGCTGAATGGTGTGCTCTGGATCAACCAGCCAAAGACGCCAAGTGGCTTGCTAAGATAGCAGCCCAGCTTGGTCTCCCGAGATACCAGGACCCTATTACCATTTTCACTGACAACATCAACACCCAGCTGCTTTTGGCAAAGAAAGGGTGCAAGAACAGCACCAGGTGGCTAGAAATACGCTGGTTTTTCGTCAAGAATGCTGTGGCAAGAGGCCATATCGACGTCAGGCGAGCTGATACGAAGCGCAACCCAGCTGACGGCTTCACCAAAGCACTTGACCCCATAGCATTCAAGAGATTCTTGGAGATGCTAGGAATGAAGGCCATAAAGTGAAATTCAATGGCACGGAGAATATGTAACCTACATACGACTCAGGAAATGACACTACAAATTGAAGGGGCAACCAGCAAATTGGGAAAAGATCAAATTAAAGGAAATGGAAGACTGTGATTGGCCAAGCAGGAAGAATTTTCGAGGATTATCAGATGAAGTGACTCAGGTCCATGGAGGGAATGTTGAGATCACATGACCTGGTTGGTCATGTGACCCTGGATGGGTCCTGAGAGTAGTTAGATAGTCCTGGGAAGGGTTGGAGCCTCTCTCCTCCCTAGTCCTTTTCATCACCAATAATATTGACCTATTATTGCATCCATCTCCCTTTGTCTAGAATAACTTACCATTATTATAATACTATATTATAATTTATTGTATTTATTGTAGTATTCTAGGGTGGCCCGCTCGCTTATGAAATACGTTAGCGTTTATATATAACCTTTAGTACTCTATCTATAATTTAAGTAAATTATTAAAAGCTACTCTAAATACTAGCTTAGCGGGCTATTACCTTCCCCCTATAATTAATTTATAACTACTACTTAACTTATTTAATATTTTCTGTAACCTTATAACAAATAAAGTATTTTCTTCGGTTAGGCCTAATATAGATAAAGGGAGGTACAGATAAAAATTATTTAGTCGAAGAAAATCGTTATAAAAGGTATAGAATATAGCCTAGCTACTAGATAGAGTCGCTAGGTGATTTGATAGTATAAGATATAATAAGTTACCTATATTACTATTATGAAAAAAGGGATACAAATTCAAAATACTAGCCTTAAGATGTAACAGGGTTTTAGAGGTAATAGTTTAAAGGTAAAAGGTATAAGGATATAGGTAATAGCCGTGTTATAGGACTACGCCCCACCCTTCTAGGTTGGGGATATCCCTTAGCTATTCTATAAATTTTCAATTTCTTTAGCTTCTAGCTCATTTTCTAGGCGTATAAGGTCTAGGAACTCTAAGATAAAGCCTATTTATAGCCTTATTAGCTAATGCTTAGTATCCTCCTTATTTTTAAGTGTTTACTCTAATTCCTTATTCGCTAAATCGGCCACTATTTTCACTACGTCTTTCCGCTAAGTATAGAGCTTCGACTTATCTCCTTTCTTATATCTAGGCTATACTAGCCTATTTCCTAAAATTAATAAAGAGGGCTTTCCGTAGCTCCCTTTACCTAGTGCTTACTTATTAGCTTTTTCCTAGGCGTTTTATAGCTAATGGCGCGCATAAGGCTTATCTCTATAAGGTCCGTATATAGATCGGAATAATATCGTTTTTAGCGTATATCGTATTAAATCAAGGCGTAATATAGCTACTATATCTATTAAGTATCAAGAGATAATACCTTCCCTTTCTCTAGTAAGAAGTTAATAGAATAAATAACTTTTAAAGCTATTCGAGTCTAATTATATACGTATTCTACCTATTATTATTAATAGCGAATAGCTAGTCGTCCGGTAAGGTAGTGTCGCCTATAAGCTATAACTATATAAAAACGTTACCTGTAAAAATAATATATAGCGGTAACGCCTATCCTAACGTATTTATCGCCTTAATAGTAGTCACCTACTATCGATTTCTACGTTATAAGAGAGCTCGCCGCCTATAGGAAGTTCGAGTTACGACCTTAGTAGTAGTAGTAAGGCTAAGGGGGAAGCTAGTCTTGTTAAAGTTATAGATATCTTTATCGATAATACCCTATTTCGCGATTGTACTTCTCATGAAGTTAAACTAGGTTATAATTATCTTTACGTCCTTATACATCTGTTGACACCCCACCAAAAAATATAATTCCAAAAACCACCCGCAATTTTAAAACCGCTATTACTCATTCAATTCTTACTCAAATTCATTGATTTTTATTGCAGAAAGTACGTAAATAGCTAATCTATTATTAAATAGCTAATATCTAGTGTAATAGCCTTTTGCCGCCCGTATAGCAGTAATGCGACGCGGCATTGACCGAATTAGGCTATCTATAGCACTCTGGGATATATGATCCTAGGAATCCACTAATATATTACGGAATTCTTCCTAATTTTGGGTAGACCTTCCTTAGCTGGCTAGCCTAGGATAGCGGTTACAAAGCTCCTTTTTTAGCAAGCCCTATACTAGTTCAATAGGGTTAAGTTTAGGCGAGTAAGCCGGCCACTTAATGACGTGAATCCTATGCCTTTCGAACTAATTTTAGGTGTCTTCTGAGACGTAAATCCTCGCGTTATCTTGCTAGAATAAATTTCTAGGCTCGTAGTGCTTAATTATAGCTTCTTTGTGTGTCTATTGGTACGAATTCGATATATATCTATTCCGACGTGACAAAGGGTCCCGTTCTATAGTAACTAGCTTTATACGCCTATCAATCTAGATACTAGCCTAAACTATCTATAAAATATCTTTACTATAGTTCTTTCGGTTCACTAGATTACTACGAAAGCCCTTTAGAGGGAACCAGAAGACCTAAACGATAGGAGAATTAGAGCCGCGTTAGATAGAGTATTCGTTAGAAAATATGACCTTCTCCTACTCCGTAAAACTAGCCTAATTATAGTAAAGGTAGCGTCTTTCTCGCGTATCTTCGCGCGTAAGAGGGATACGATCCTTTAACTTCTATTTCTAGAGACTATAGCGGTATAGAATTCGTCGAATTATAGTCCGAGAGGGTCCCCTAGGGGTATTCGCAATAAGGGCCTTATAGCTCTACGCTAGATACCGGCGCGCTATTTAATAGATATAGCGTTTAGTGTAGGCATTAAATTTAACGGGACCGCCTTTTCGGGGTCGAGAATCGAAGGTTTTAAGCGATTCAAAGCGTTTTCGCGTGTTATAAACTATATAGCGGGAGACATAATAATCGGCTACAATTTTAGATAGCGATATCTTAGTAGCTAGAGCGCTCATAATAGTAGATCGAGTATAAGGTGAAAGCTTATCGTTTTTACGTCGATTTCCACTAATAACGGTTCTAAAAGCTCTCATATTGGTGGAGTTAGCGTTAAAGAAGACGCGTTTTTTTGGTTAGGGCTAGATCCGACCGAGTGTTAATAGACTTATAGCCACCCATGTATTAAGCTCGCTAGTAATTATAGGACCTTAAGAATCGAGTTAAAAGGTTAGGACGCTATTAGACAAAGTTATAGACCTATTTCACCCTAACCGTCTCGGTCGGGTCAGTCCTATAGTCCTTAAGTAGTAAATTAGCTACTTCTTATATAGTATTCGGCCAGGGGTAGCTCTACGCTTATCTAATAAGATAATCTAATTATTAAGGGTTTTCCTCTTCTAAAAAAGTCAATTTATAGCTATTAGCGCGGGTTTCGCGGCTTTTAACGCCGGATATATAGCGAAGGAGTATATTTAGCGGGACTTTAAAATCGCGAGCTAATTAACGAATTTAAGTATTTTTCTTTAGTCTAATAAGAGCGAATAGCTAATAGGATCCTACCCTCTTACTCTATACGTTTTTGAGAGCTTTAATGCCGGATTAGTAGTATTATAGGTGGTTAAAATTGATATAATAGATATACCGCGAAGCTAACGCGTAGGTGTTCTACTCGCTTCTATATTCTACCCGCTTACACAATACATTAATATACTATCTATAATTACCCTAAATAGTTGGTTTTAAATCCTATAATCTAGTAGTATCTTGAAAAGGACACTACTTATATTAGTGCTAGTATAAGCTCTATAAAGGGCTAGAAAGCTAAGAACTATCTTATATTATTATATCTAATCAATATTAATAAAATAGCTCGTAATAGCTAGGGAAGCCTAGAGACCGGAGGTATCTAATAATATAGCGTAATTAATATCTTTAATTTTACTAGAAATATCGAAAATTGTTCTATTATCGGTATTTTAACTCGAACCGATAGTTAATAGCGAGTAGTATAAGTTAAGGGGATAGTTTAAGGGTATAGGGTAGAATAAGCTAGAGATATTAAGCTTTTAAATATTTAATATCCAAAATTTAAAATAGAAACCGGTTTATAGTAATAAATTATAAACGGTCGTCTTTCTAGCCTTCTTATGATAAGGGATTATTAGTCTAAGTACGATCCTAATAGGATAGTAATTAATAACTAGATTATAAGGATAGAATCTAAATATACTTATTTCTAAAGAATTTTAGTTTACTCTCCCTTCTATTAGTTTAGGCCTGAAGATATAGGGTAGGTAGTAGTCTTCGGATATCTTATTATAGTTATCTTACTATAATATCTAACCTTCCTATTAATACCCTTATTAGTAATATAACGGTGCTTAAGAATAGCGTAATAACGCTTATATATAACTTTCGCTACGTTATCTATGCTATACGTGGTCCTTCTAATCCCGTAAAACGTAGGTTAGATCTATACTAATCTTACTCTTATATCGATAATTAGTCTATAATCACTAGTCTATCTAGTCGCTATATTAATTTTATTATATAGTACGTATACTTTTATCCTATTAGGCCTAACACTTTTAAGGGTAGGAGGAATTTTAAATAGAATAGCTAGTTAGAGATATAAATAGTTAAATGTCTTAAATATCTACTAGCTCCTATATAGGGTAGTAATTTAAAGGGGTAGGATATATTAGATTATCTAACTCTATAATATATAGAGATAATATAAAGTCAAATTACTAGCTTTAGGATATTTTAAGGTAGGTAAGGAATATAAGAAGGTATAATAAGGAATAATAATCGAAGAGATATATATTATAGAAGGCTACCTTTACTATAATAGTATAGTAGCTAATAACTTAATCCTTAGATCTAATAGATATAATAGAAATATTAGGTAGTCACTAACTAGGTAGAAAGTATAGCTTAAGTATATTAGGCCTACTAAAGCCTATAATTAGCCTATAAAGGCCTATTCCTAATATATAGCTTAACTTTCTAACGTAAACTAAAACTAAGGGTATTTTATATAAATATATTAATTATAAGCCTCCTTTTAGAATACTAGATCTTATAATGTATAGAAACTAAAGATATAGAT